CATTGAAAAAAAATCTCCAAATGAATATTTCTCTGTGGAAAGCAAGTTTCAAAACTATACGTCTGTTAGGACGCGGCTTATGTTTTAAAAAGCATGAGGGAGGGAGGGCAGGGGGATAAACCTAAAACTAAGTTTCTGTGTTGAGGAAATAGGCCCAATCTGCTGTTGCCTCTCTTCCCATCTTGGTGCTGATCGACCCACTTCTGTGACCTGTGTCCAAGGGTCGGAGGCTGGCAGCATGTGCATGTTGGAAAATACATAAAAACTGCAAGGACATGTATTAATCCACTCTCCGTAATTACCTTGGAAGGCCTGCAAAAGTTTTCATATACTTCTTGTTTTCAGTTCTTACAATAAGTAAAAACTGTTCTGTAAAAACTGAAAGCACAAGTTATTTCTTTTGAAATTTTAAGAATATTTAAAAATATATATTTAGAATTTTGAGTATATTTAGAGAAGTGCATATATTATCAGATATTTAAAAAACTCTTAATCTGTACCTGTATATCTAAAAATGATGCTTTTGTCTTAGAGGGAGTATTTATGTATTAATAGGCACTAATTTGCCTTGTAGGCGCCTTGGTGGCACAGTGGTTAAAGCATTCAACTGCTAGAGCAGAAGTCTGCCTTAACCCCACCAGCTGCTCCGCGGGAAGGAGCTGTGGCAGTCTGCGTCCGTGGTCGCCCTGGGCAGGCCTCCTCCGTCCTGTAGAGTCACTGAGTAGGAGTGCCTTGACGGTAGTAGGTTTGGTTTTGAATTTACCTTGTTCAGTAGGCTGCTCCAGCGCCTATTGAGAACGTCGTTGCCCCCGAGTCAGCTAGATATGAACTGTTGTGCTTCGAGTGTTTCACGTGGACTGTGCATTGGGGACCTTACCCACATCCTGGCGAGGACCCTTTGCTCAGGCTGGGGTGCTATGGAAAGGGCCGAGACATATCTAACTCTGCTTTTACCAGAGGAGAAGTTCACAGGGCAGTTTTCAAGTAGGCGTGGTTTTTATTTGATAATAAATGATATCCTCTGATTTGTTCTGTAGGTAAGATCTCTACAAGCGTGGCAACACAGCGTGGACCGACGCCTCCGTTCCTGGCAGACGGATGCTCCTGTTTCAAGCACTCTCCTGCCGCCTAACCCGTCCTTCTGGGCTGAACGTCAGGGGCCCTCTTCTGACCGGCTCCCTGTTCCGGGTGAAGCTGCGCAGGAGAAATCCTTGCCAGACTTTCCAGACTCCGGTTTCCATTCCTCCCTTACAGCACAAGTCCACTGTTTACAAGATTCTTTGGAGTTTGAAAAATGCCCCACTGAAGGCAGTGACAGTTTGGTAATGGGGAATTCCATTGACACAGTCAAATACGGTAGGGAAGCGGATTCAGGGGATGCGAGTGAGGAGAATGGTGGATGGAGTAAGGAGAGCTCACACAACGAGCAAGATAATAGTTTGCTTGAACAGTACTTAACTTCAGTCCAACAATTGGAAGATGCTGCTGAGAGGGCAACTTTTGATGAAGGAACAGGAGAGAGTGAGCTTCACAGAGCTCATTCCATGGAAAAACTAGATGCCGTGTCTGATAACGTGCCTGCCGTTGAGACTGACAGTGTAGTATCTCCCTTGTTACAAGATGAGATGAGCCAGGCACCAGAGAACTGTAAGCTCAATGCGGATGTTCCAGGGCAGCCGCCGGAATGTGACTCTGCGTTTCAGGTATTGCATGTTGGGATCACTGTGTAGCATGTCCGGTTGCGAAGCAGAAAGCCACTTTGTTTTACCATGTTTTCACTTGCCTGTTCCCTATTTGTTTGTACAGCACAGTCCTTCCCTGGTTCTGTTGGTGTGTATCTAAGGTTGCATCTTGGCTCGTGTTTCCCAGCTCCTACTTGCTAAGCTTACTCTTCACTTTGATTCTGCTTACCATGATTACCTGGAATGCACCAAATAACATTTACCTTGAGAGCAATTTGCACTTTATTTCTTAACAATTGAATTGCCTCAGTCATATTCATGTTTCTTGTATGTGCTCAGATTATTTCCTTTCAAAAATAATTAACCTCAAGTATCTTAAATAAAAATAGGAAATTTTTATCTTTAAGATATAAACAATGTTGATTCTTTATATGAGGAAATGAATCATGAAGTAAGGAATGTAATTGTTAAAACGAATATAATGACACATTTGAGGATGATGAATTATTGAAAGTTTTTACTTGTCTTGGAGTGAGAACATGTCTTCTTAAACCTTTTTCTTCCCTTAAGAATAAGGAAATCCTTCTTAGGAGCAAATTTAAGAAGAAAAGAGAAGATAGAATTCCTCAGTGGGGATATCAGCGTAAAAGTGTTCCCTGCAGGCTGTAAGTCGGGCTTACTGAGCTAGCACAAGAACATTTCTCTAGTGATGAAGAAAGCAAGTGCTAGGACTTGTTCTTGGGATACTGTCACAGCAAACCTTTTTTCATTTAGCGCTTCTATTACCCTGCAGATCAATAGGCCAATGTATTTCCAGAAAAAATTAACATGTTCATGTTCTTGCTTCATGCTTGCATTTGCCCACCTATTTCAGCAGAAGGTTGATGGCCATTCACTTCACTCTTGACCTCTGCCTCCGTGGTGAAGAACATTAAAAGTAATACTAGTGACAGAATATGAATGTCTTTTTTAAAATAATGAACAAAGAAGTATTTTCTATCTAAAATGCTGAAAACGTGCCACATTTAGAATAAGGTGTAATGATAGTTAAGGAAAAAATTAACCACTTGTTTTTTGTTAAAGAAAATATATCTGTGACTTCAGGAAGACATGTTAAGATTCTGTTTAAATATTGTAGGAAGATGCATTTGCAAATGAAAGATGCTGTTTGGAAAGTTAATATTTTAATCTTTGAGAATGTCCTGAGACTATTGAACAACATATCTCTGATTTTCCCGAAACGATGAACGTATAAATACGGCAATACCGAAGTGTTCTCTAAATGTAGGTGCTAAATGTCTACTCGTGAGTCTGTTGCCATCACAAAGTTCCCTTCTTTGAAGTGATATGAAATACAGACTTGTGATTCTTCAAGAATAAAATCAGGGATCCCATGTTCTGCTTTGTCTCCAGCTCGGTGGGTGTCTTTTTCTGGACTTGGACGTGTGTAGCACTCAGGTTGAGAAGGCTTGGGTTTCATCCAGACAGCCAGACGCTCTTGCACAGGAAATGTCTTCTGTACTATTACCAAAAGAGCAGTCTTACCTTCGAAAGGATTTTCTCTCGTAAAGCTTGTATAGAGCTAGTTGAATGCATGTGAAATTGAGATAGGATTTTTTACTTTGAGAATAATGCTAGTTATCTTTTATGATGATTTTGAATTTATTCTTAGATACACCCTATTTTTCTATTTTACAGTTAAGTGCCTCATTTGCTGCCCATTGTTAGACAAAGAGAAACCAATTTGCACTGCACCAGCACCAAAGTGCTACTTCATGGTCCATTACTTTCCATAAAAGCCGCTGAAGTGTCATGGTTCAGTATTACCTGCGTAGGTGGCCACCAACATCCTCTCACACCTCTCCTTTTTTAAGAAATAGTGAAACACAAGTAAATTTGAACATGAGCATTATCAACAGACCTAACTTTGCTTTTCTGCCCGTAGATAGTATTCAGAATACTTTCAATAAAAAATGGCAGAATTATTCATTTTAGTTCATTTGCATTTTATTTAAATTTTATTACTTTTGAAGTACAAGAATATTGAGCAGATCCTGCCCCTTAACTGTACAGATTGCCATGAATGTAGATGGGATGAAAATAGTGTACAGTAGAGTGTAGGAAACCTGTGGCATAGACAATATATTTTGATGGGTTACAGTATAATTTTAAAGTAACTAAACTATTTGTAACTATGGGGCTATTCACTGGTGGCTTATTAGGGAGCGATTGGTAGTAAGGCTTAGGAGGTTGAGCTTTGAACACAATTGTGTTTTTTTTGTTTTTTTTTTTCCTAATAGGCATTTAGTTCACTGTGCTAGCTTAGTTTATACCAGTTCTCTTGATTTATGAAGAATTCAATATATTGATAGGAATTTCAGAAAAAGCACACATCATACCATGTGGAAGCTGGGAGACACCTGAGGGATTATAATTCTATCTCAGATGAAACGAAAAAGCAAAGAAATTAAATTAAATAGATTGTGAAAGGTTATAGCTAGCTAATAATAAATAAATGTTGAAGACTTAAATGTTATTGTATTAGAACATTTTATTATACTCTTTCTTAATCTCTGCATTTAGTGAATTAGTAGGGGAGTCTATATATAATTCATACTCTTTGAAATAGAAAAAAAGTTTTAAGAACACTAGACTAACCCACTCAAGGTAGTTACTTGTAGAAATAACTCATGCCTTCAGATCTTTAGTGGTTTTTCTCTAAGAAATGTGATTTGATTAAGATGTTTTATAAAGAACAATCTAGTAGGAGTTACATTTTTAGAAACTAATAACTGCATCCTAGAATTTATTTACTTGCTAACAGGAGGATGGCAAGCTACTGATAGTATAAACTATCTAGTGAACGTTGAATTTAATTATGTTTATCTTCAATTTTATGAGAGAACAGGTAATAAAAGTTTAACTACTCTCCTGGTATATTGAAAATTTTAATCATGAGATTTGATTCACACATAATTTAGATTTTTGAAATTTAATTATAAAAGACTACATAATAAGCATGTTTTAGAAAAATGTTCATTTATTTAGCTACTTAATTAATTGTACATATGCAAATAATTTCTTAAATAATGTGGGTGCCATTCTTGACTAGATTTTTCTTTTACTTGCTTTGGATTATTTTAAATGTAGAGACACTATAAGAGTGTATTTTTCTGTTATCTACTCAAGACAAGTATAGTTCTAATTTTTATAAATATTTCCAGGAACAGTATAAGCTTAAGATATTATCTCCCTTGATTCTATATATATATTTTAAAACAAATTCTTAGAATTGGATTTGTAATGTTAATATAAAAAAGCCCACTTCCTGTAGCATTAATACACAGTAAAAAGGGAAATATAGGATGATTCTGATTAATTTCCATTCATAAATAAAAAGAATTGCTTCGTGTACATTATTTTGCCATGTATCTTATTAAATAATATATTGTAACTTTTTAATCTGTTTGACCTCTTTATTCATGAAGTGAAGCAGAAAGGATATATAAAGAACTTCCTAAACATTTTCAATGATAATGCTTTCACTAAAAAAAAAAGTGCTTTCACTGTCTAAAGCTACTGTGCCATATTAGAATTAAACTCAAGGGAAACAAAGCAGTCCTCACAGCTTCAGGGTGAAAGTAAATAATTACCTTTTAAAAATGTGGTGCTTTCTATTTGTATATAAAGAAATATTACACTAAGTGTTAATTACTGGATTTAGTAGATAGCAGAAATCACTCTGTATTGCTTTTGTTAATTTAATTCTTTTGTAGTAATTCTAATGTTGACAATAAGAGTTTAAAAATAATTTTATTATGGACTCTTTAGATTTTTTTCAAATTTTGTTGTCAAAATAGATAATATTGCTTATGTCTGTTTTTTGAAGGCTCACTATTTTATATTATGCTTACTTCTTTTGTATTTTAGTCTAATTTTAAATAAAAGTTTGTACATTTGTTTGAGCACATCATCTGTATTACAGTGAGTGACTTCTGGTAACGGTTCTTATTCATTGTGCTCATAATTCATGAGTAAACAAAATTTGGAGAAAGCTATAAGAAGAACTATGCTAATAAGGTCCTGAGTATTACTGTGATATAATTGAAGTTACAATGAAACAGTCATAGGCCAAAGGAAATGATTATGCAAGGGATGCTAATGTAGTTTTATTCGGCATTTCAGAGAGAGCACTGGTAGGTGCTGGTGAAGACAATGGAAACCGGAAGTGTTAGCAGGTGAAAGAGTATGTCGATGACAGTTCTCGTTTGACACATTAGGATCGGTAGTTGGTTAATCAAGAATGGTTAGAGCAGGAAATCAAAAAATATGTATATGTATATGTATATATATATAAGGATTTAAAAGTATTGCTGTAAAATCATAGAAATCTTTCTTAAAACTGTATCAAGATGTAAAATTACAGTTTCTCAACATATCTTCCATCTAGGTGTGTAACACTTTTTTAAAAAAATCATTTTATTGGGAGCTCTTACAGATATTATAACAATCTGTAATTCAATTAGATCAAGCCTAATTGTACAATTGCTGCCACCATCATTTTCAAAACATTCTTTCTTCTTGAACTCTTTGATATCAGCTCCCCTTTATCCACTCCCTCCAAGGAATCCTTGTGGGTCTCTACACTTTTGAAGGGGTTGCCCTCCCTCTCACGCTCCCTGAGGAATTGTGTGCTTTTCCATTTCCCCCACACCACAGTGGTAGTTTGGCATCCTCAAGGGACTCAGATTGCGTTCCTTGGAAATACTCTTTTGCATTTTGGAACCAACAGAAGGCTGAAGGGGCAAGATCAGGGCTAGAGATGATCTAGCCTGGATGGCCTAAGATTTCTCAGTGGACTCTTTGGACGGCCCTTGTTACCTGTGAAGTGGCCTTTTACAATGTAGTTTTCAATTTCTTAAAATTTCATTATTATAAGTCTCCATGACTGTTCTTTGAGAAATATCTATCAAAATGATGCCTTTGAAATCCCTGAACAAATGCCATCACCTCCTGAGCTGACCTCTGCTTTAAATTTAACTGGCCCAGTAGATTCCCTTTGAAGCCACTGCTTTGATTGGACCTCCCCCCTCCACCCCCAAAAGGCAGCCTCACAAGACCAACAAGTGTATTGCTGAGAGAACTTGTCTGTAGACATCCACTGATGACGGAGACATTTTAAACACGTGTTGTTAAAAATATACCTGTGCATGTATGCCCTGGAACCAGCCAGCCATACTTCTTATTTACTTGTCTATACACCTGAGGAGCCCTGGTGGCGTAGTGGTTGTGTTGGGTTGCACTGTAAGGTCAGTAGTTTGAGACCACCAGCAGCTTCACAAGAGAAAGACGGGTTTTCTACTCCTGCGAAGAGTTCCAGTCTCGGAAACACGGGTGGTTCTACCCTGTCGTACAGGGTCGCCTTAAGCCCATGCGTCAGAATGGACTGGAGGGCAGTGAGTTTGGTTTGGATGTTTTTTTCATCTATACCAGAAAGTTTAATAAAAATACTTTTCTTGAGATCTCACTGACCTACATTATTTAAACAAAATGGGTTGATAAGCTTCGGTGCACGCTTGGTTATGAAGCCGTCACAACATTAAGGAAATGAACATATGCCCCCCCCAGTGTTTTTTGAAATCAGGCAGTGTTTAAGTCTTTCAACTCAGTTCTTTTTCAGTGTTGTTTACTCTAAGTACAGATGTTCCGGACTTCTGTGGGTTTGGTGTACTTAAATGGACCATTTCTACTTTACATTTCTGTAAGATGGAGGGAGAAGTTAAAAGTATTTATAAAGTCATCGGAATGGAGTGCATTTAGTTAGGTTCCTCTGTTTCTTTTAATCTTTATTAAACTTTTTAATAACAATTTACTTTGGAGTATTTATTTACAAAGCCCTCAATTTTGTTTTCCACGAAAATGTTGTCATTTTCCACTTGATTTCAAAGGTTCTTATTAATAGTAATTAGATTATATAATTACAACAGTACAACCAACCTAGACTGGTTGAGAAACTGACACACACTAATTGGTGGGAGTGGATGTGCGCACTCAATAGGGCATTGCACGAACGATAGGGGGCCAACAGGAGGAAGGAGGGTCAGGTGAACAGCAGTCCAAGGGTGGTTCTTGCCTGGCAGAGGTCAGACATGCCTCCACCGTGTCACCCTCTTTACGTGCTTCCCATCAGAGCACTGTCCACTCTCTGTTGATTCAGTATTTATTGTAATGGCCATTGGGCACTCACAGACAAGACGTAAGATTATGGGGTTTACTAGGAAAGTTTACAGGCTACAGTTCGGGATCATAAATGCTCAGCATACAGTTCTTTGCTCAGGACAGCAGCTTCTCAGGTAGACCCCTAGGCACACATCTTTCTGGTACCGCCATGCGGTTCCTTGACCTCTGCCATACTTGGGCAATGTTACAAAGGTCTTTTAGTACAGTTGGAAGTAGCCAAAGGGCACTCCATGCTACTCCCGTAAGCCTCAGCCTGAAGCTCTTAGTTCTGTGTGTTAGCAAATCCATTAAGTGTCTGGTGAGCCTCGTGACCAAAGGCACCCAGCTTTCTCCACGGGCTGGGTGTTCTTGGTGCTGTAACCTCTGCTGCCATCGATCGCTTCTCCACCACTTCTCTGCTCTCCATGGCTCTGGTGTCTGTTCCCTGGATTGAGGAGGTTCAGCAAGCAGGGACATGATCCTTTCTTGGCGGTAGTGAAACCCCCCTCCCCCCGTTTCTGCTGAGAGGGCTCATTTTATACCAATAGGATGGCAAAATTGACAAATCCCCACATTAAAATTCCACGTTTTACGATCACAACCCTGTTGACAATCACTTAGTGAATCATGTAATTCTATCAGCATTAAAAAAAATTCATTATTATTATTTTTCTATCAGTATTTTACCCCACCTTCTCTTGCCCAG